ATACATGGGTGCCTAAATTGCCCATCTTAATAAAAAAGTAATTACGGCATTTAGGCAGCCGAAATTAGTCTTATATAATGCCGAAATTAATTTTAATATTTGCCGAAATTATTGTCGAAATTTTTTGAACTCTTTTCATCAAAATACATCATATGGGGACCCCCACAGCAAAAGAAGGCATTGGGCCATTTTAAATTTTACTATTTAAATGTATATACCTCATAATCTCATAATTAGAATTAAATGATTTTTATATTATTTAATTCTTTTCAATGAGATGAATTAAATAATATAAAATCATTTAATTCTAATCACTAGATTATGAAATATACTTATTTAAATAGTAAAATTTAAAATAGCCCAATGCCTCTTTTTGCTGTGGGGGTTCCCATATAATATAGTTATTTCGAAGGGTTTCATATAAAAAATTTAGCAATGTTGAAATGTTTGCCGAAAATACGATTTTTCAAAAATAATTTAGGCACCCATGTATACAACCTGGTTATCCTCTGATTTAAAATAATAGATAAAAATATCAAAACTTGTAATTCATCAACACCTGATACTTTATATGCCACTTGATACCGTTATTACAGAGAAAGGTTTATTTGGTACCAACAAACTTTTCATCCCCCAACTCTGCCTTATTATAATGATGATGATTTAATAAAGTAATATGATCGTTAAGAATCTTAACGATGGAAATAACAACTGCAACACTAAAACGTATAAAAATTGAGAATCAATACTTCATATATCCTTTACAACGTCTAAATAAAACTTTATTAGAAGAGTGAAAAGATGGCTCTTGTATACTTTTGAAGTGCATGGATTAGACATGTACCTTTTGCTAAGCTTAAAGACTAATTCTACTATTTTGCACACCCTTTAACCACTTCCGGACAATCTGTATAAGCTTTTCAATGTCTATTTTCTATGCCTTATTCCATCTCTAAGTTTTTGTCTATGTCTAAATCTTTATGCATTACTATAATAAACAAATAAAAGAAATATATAGATATAAGAATAAATGAAAATGATGAATCTAATAAATATTGAGACCTTTCGATCCTTCTAAGCCTTCGCCACCTGTTTAGTCTTTCAATATTTTTGTGGCTTTTATGCTTGTACATTTTCGTTACTATTAATAAACTACCAAGTCACGGCTTTTCAAAGAAAAATCGTGACACTAGAATCTTAAAAACCTTTTTCTGAAACATAATAAGTTGGAACCGACTTGATATCGAAAACTATTGTTGAAAACTTAATAAAATCCCAACACCTTGCCCTATTTTACATTTAGCACAAAGTTCTATCTGATGAGACTCAATAATTATGTCTATCACCAAAATCAGAAGTAAACTCATGATTTTTAAGCCTTTTAATATTTTCTCTGTTGTTGTTTTATCTATTTCTAAAATGTTTTAATTTTCTTATGTCTTTAAAAGTTATTAATTATTAATAGAAACTTCCTGTTGTGCCTGATACTGCTGTTGTTATTGTATTATTTCGTTTAATATTGCAAGCGTGCGAGACATTTCATTATTTAATATCATGATACCTTCATCTCCCCCAAAACCAGGTTTGGATAATATAAAATCAGGATTACATGCAAGAGCGATATGTGAAGTTATACGAGAAGATTGATCAGTTTCACTGGCTGTACCACCAAGACAAGCTTTCATTCCATTTTCTTTACAATAAAGAATTGCTTCAATAGTATTATTAATTCCACCAAGGTCTGGTGTTTTTATTTGAACATAATCGGAAGCTTTCTCATCTGTAAATAATTTTATATCACTAAAAGTATTACACCATTCATCAGCAATTAAAGATACTTTAATTCCTTTTTTATTTAATAATCCTTTTATTTTTTTAAATCCTAAAATTTGTTCTTGTTGACTTTTTGCGATAATAGGTGACTCTATAAGAAGATCATAAGGAAAAGTGATTTTTTGAAGTTTACCTAAATAATCAGATAATAAATCAAAGTCCATTTGAAATAATTCACCCAATGTCCCATAAACATCTAAATGTATTTTTGGTTTATATTCTTTTTCACCTATTTCTTTTATTCTATTAACAACTGTTGTTGCATACTTAATTAATTTTTCACCTTTTAATCCAATATGTTTGTTTACGTCTGTAAATGAAGCATGTGGTAACAAATCTACTTTTTTAATAATCATTCTATCAAGTTGCATAAAATCATCTCTATTACAAGATGCTAATATTGGTATTAACTCCTTTGCAATATTAAGTTTATATTCTGAAGAAATAACTTCTACCATTGTACAATTTAATGATAATGAAACAGCATGTAATAATGCTTGAGTAACCCCATATCGTATTGCCGTATGTATGTTTTTATCTTTATCAAATTCATAAGCAGGATATCTAAAATTATTTAACTGCTGTCCAACAAGTTTAGGTGAAATTTCTTTAATAATACAATCTATATGATTTTCTGCATTAAATATTTTATCTCTTTCTGCTGCACCTGCAAATATTACATCAACACAATCACCAAAGGCTGTTTGTCCATCTTCAAGTTGTAATATAATAGATATAATAGTACCTGGCTCATCTATTTTTTTAAATCCAGGCAAAACAGGATTTCCTATATATATAAAACCATTCTGTTCGGCACCATTTTTTATAGCTTGCAAATCACGATGTATATACCGTGAACATCCAATAGCATATAATACTTTTTTTATTTTCGTAGAATTATTATTTTCAATCATATTTTTATTCTTTGTTTCTGAATATTCTAAATAAGAAAATGTGATAAATGGTTCAGTGGATTAATGTAAACGTTATTCAAAGAAATCGAACATTTTCATCTACATACGTACACACTATTTATACAGTTTTATTATTGTATACAATACCCGGAGTCATACAAAATTCTGTGCCACTCGCATCTTAGTTTAATTGCGCCACTAATACTGTTAGCAAAACTATTTTTGGCAAATAGCAAAAAGTTGAAACCAAACCCGGCAAAAGTCAAAACTGGTAAAACTTTGGCAAAATAGCAAACTCTGGCAAAATGGCAAAATCCTTGTGAAGCTGAAACACCTGGGGAAGTCAAACACAGCGACCTTTAAGACTTTGGAAAAACTGAACCATGTGGTGAATCAAAAAATTTTGCGTGTGGCAATTAAGCACAGCAAATAGCTTATAATATACAAAGCAACAAACAAAGCGATAGACTTTCATTTGTATTTGAGTACTATTTACTGTTGTTAGGCAGAACTATTTTTGGAAAATGGCGAAAGTCGAAACTAAACCGGCAAAAGTCAAACTTAGAGAAATTTGGCAAAATGGCAAGATAACAGAAACTCTGGCGAAACGGCAAAACTCTGGTAAAACCCTTTATAAAGTTGAAGACCTGGAGAAAGTCAAACACAGCAAAAAACCAAGTCCTTTATGACTTTGGAACGACCGAGCCATGTTGGTGAATCAAAATATTTTACGTATGGCTATTAAGCACAGCAAATAGCTTATAATATACAAAAGCAATTTGTATTCAAGTACTATTTACCGTTGTTAGGCAAAACTACTTTTGGAAAATGGCAAAAGTTGAGGTAAAGTCGAGGCAAAAGTCAAACCTGGAGAAACTTTGGCAAAATGGCGAAACTCTGGTAAAACTCTTGTAAAGTTGGAGAATGTCTAACACAGCGAAGAATAAATCCTTTGACTTTGAGCCATGTTGGTGAATCAAAATATTTTGCATGTGGCTATTAAGCACAGCATATGGCTTATAATATACAAAAGCAATAAACAAGCGATAGGCTTTCATTTGTATTAGAGTACTATTAAAAGAAAACTAGACTGCAGGCTTTTGAATTTATAATAAATCAATTCAAACTTGAACATTCAAAGCCTGAAATCCTGTTTTCTTTTAGTACGCTTATCTATATTTTAATATGTATTAATATTATTTATGTAAAATAACTTATCTAAATTAGGGTTGTTAATCGATTTGTACTTGTTAAAAGACTGCCAATATTTTAAAAAAATCAGACTGGACTGCGAATAGGAACGAATTGAGCTGAATCGGGTGGACCGATGATCATCATAATACTTTGCTACAATGATAAAAATAAATTTATCAGTATAAAGAATCTTCAAAATTTATAATATTGACTTATATGATATAATAGGTACAATAGTTATTTATTAATTGATATGTTTGGTAATTTAAATCATATGTAAATTATGGTTTAGAAAATTATATAGTATAGTAATGTAACAAAATAACTTCTTTGCATTAAGTTCCAACCATGATTAATGTCTGCATTTCATTTTATATTAAGATTATAGTTAAATTTAGTTAAGAAGATATTTTGTTACTTTTAACTGCTTAACATTGTTTTTAAATAAACTTGAATTTGCTTTATATTTAATTACCTTATACTTTCTTATTATCTTATTACATTTATATATTTATAAATAAAAATTATCTCATGACTTATTTGGATCATTAATTAATTATTTAACTTATAATTTGATTAATAGACAATTATTTAGTAAACTGAAAAATGATCATAGTATAATGTAATGCCTATAAGTAATGTTTTAACTCTAATTATTTATTAAATTTAAAATTTGATTATTTTATTAAATACATATTTTAAATAGTTTTAATTTGGAAAGCTTTAACTAGTTTTTTTATAATTTTATAGAAATTTTTTGTTAACTAATTTTATATAGTATTATTAAAATATTTTTAGTAATTAAAACATTTATGATAAAAATTTCTTTAAATTCTTAATAAAAGTTTTAAATATAAAATTTGGCTAAGATTGAATTAATATATGTAAAGTAATTTAAATTTACTAACAAATACTATATAATATTTTAAAATTGATGTTATTTTTTTAAAATTTAAAGTAATATAAGATAAACTATCTAATATTAAAGAAACTTTGAAATTGAAATTAAAATATAAAAATTTCTAACTTTAATTAAGAATTTAAAAATTTAATCAATAAAATTTTTTAAATTAAGTCAAATTTTAATAACTTACTATATATAGTAATAATTTGTAATAAATTTAAAATTAAGCTTATAATACAAATAAGGAAAGTTGTATTTATAACACCATGTTATATAATATCTTATGCTATATCTCAAAAATATACTAAGTAATTAGATGCAGATACTTTAAGTAAAAATATTCATCATTCTTAAAAACTTTATAAAAGAATCTATTAGAGCCTTATATCTAATATAGTGTGGCTTGTATTAAAAGACCTATTTTGAAATTTTTTTGTAAAATGAGTTTTTATTGGTTTCATATAAATTTTGATATGATTGACATTTTTCAATTATAAATGAAAGTCGATTTGTATAATAAAAAATAATGAAAATGTAAAAAAAAAATTATATGATGCTGCTTAAGGCCAAGCACATCACAAAATTTTCTGATTATTACCTGCTACCTTTAACTAATCAAATTATAAAATTTTCTTAATCCTGAATCAG